GTTCTTTTTCCCTGCCGTGTGTCAGATAAGAACAAGCAATGGATCATTAGAAGCAGAAAGTCCTAGATGTATAGATGACCAGTCTCTAAGGTAGGGAAATACTGAGTTCCTGTATTAAAAAATAATAATAACAACAACAAACTTGATTGGGGTCAGGTATGGAAAGCAGTCAGCATCCTCCAGCAGAAGATACGAGGATCAGATTCCCACTAAGGTTTAAATGCAGTCATGCGAAGATTCAAATCATAAAACCAAAAGTCCATGGTTAAAGAAATTGAATGTGCAAAGTTTGTTTGGTCCTAGAGGTATAAAACTTCTGGAAAGAGATTTTAGCAGGCCTACTTCCTTCGAAGCCCTATGTAAGGCTTCCAGTCCTACTTGACATGCTGGAATTTAAATGTTCTTTTATACAGGAGGTTGGAACCTTCCACTAGGTATACTGAGACACCTTTCACCCCCCAGGCTGTCATCCACATCATTACAGTCATGCATATCAGTGATCTCTTTAAATTTCTTTCACCCTTTCATCCAAGGCAGAAATATGTTGCAGTGTGAATGTTGCAGCAGTGAGGCAGCAGCCAGGAAGGTGATGACAAGAAATCCCACTAGGAATAAAGTGAGCTTAAGGTTCAAGGCTCAGGGAGACTGGCATTAGAGGGTAGGACACTTATTCTGTTAAGATAAGTTGTAATCTGGGCTCTGATGAAAGGAGGCAATGATCCAAGGCAAACACTCAGTCTAAGGGGAAATGAATGATAAAGCAAATAATTCAGTTTGGGGGAACCCAAGTACCAGGACAGAGGGGCCAGTTACAGGCAACCCAATGATAGTAGCTGGTGGGCTACTGAGCAGAAGCTCTTCCTTCTTGATCTTCCTTCTGCCCAGGACAGAACAGGTTCCAAGTTTTGGAACAAGGTCATACCTAAAGAGGCTGTTCAAGGGACCCTATCTGTAAGGTTTGCAGGAACAGGAAGTTAGGCAATCATGGTATGTTTCTGAGCAATCAGATCTGGGCATTCTAGTCTTGTTCAAGGTGATCCCAAAATTACCAAATAAACCACCCTAAATTTGAAGTATCTCTGGGCACAAAAGAATGTTTTGGTATGGGTTTCAGAGAAGTGTGCTAACTATTCCAGAATGAGCCTGAAATCCTAGAGCAGTCCCAACTCGGATCTGGTCTCTAGGGGCTTGCCCATGTTCTTGGTGACTTGTGCATAATCCATATCCTCCGTCTCACCTAGGAACTGTTGGCTCTTCAGAGAGAAACTTGGGGCTTGACTAAATTCTACATGTTATGTGTTAGAAATTCCTTTTTCTAACAAAGGAGGATAGTTTCCTATGAAGGTTTATTTTCTTATATCTTAAAAAAGAGATGCCAATTTACCTTTGGCTATAAACTATTAGATAACATTCTTTAAAAAATACTGCTGAGAGACTAGAATATAATCCTTGAAACTGATTTTAAACATCTTCTAACTTGTTTAACAGCAAAGATACAAAGATAAAATGCTATATGGCTCTTGGTTTTTAATTATGTGACACCTCAATTCTGAGAAGACTGGAAATGACTTGTGTATTTGTCTCAAAATGACCGCCTGTTGATCGGCTCAAGATTTTACTTTGCTAGACAACGACCCCCCCAAAAATGGAAATACTGATGTGATTCATAACCCATTATTAAGAAGAAAACATTGCAGGCTGATCTTATGCCAGACTTATTTAACTATTATCATATCTTTCCCTTTATCTTTTCTTTTGTTTTAGGAACTTGCACTTTGCCTTCTATAACAGACATGATGAATGATATTGATAAAAAAATGAGGGAAAGGCTCAAATGGTAAGAGCATCTATTGTACAGAGGGTCTATGGTTTCCATAGAAAAAAATGTGAATAGTTGGAACTACTCTAGTCTTACATGGTCCAGAGTGAGGTCATTAGCGTGACAGCTATGAGTTAAATTCATCCATTCCACAAGTATTTATGGAAGATTTCCTTTGCACCTGACATGGTACTCGGTCCTAATCCATCCCTCCATAGATCCTGCAATATATCACAGAAAGAAGACCCAGAAAGGATTAGAAATCAGAGGAGTCTGGGAGTGCATGAATGTGGGCTCCTATTTTCCAGTCTATAAATCCTGTAAGATACAGAGGATGCCCTCCAAATGGATGGCTCTAATGAACACGAGTCAGCAAATGAGAATAATCAGGGTAATTGAGCTCTAGTCTATCTCTGTCACTAATTAGCTCAGTGGCCATGCATGAACTTCATGAGCAAGAGACAATTTCCACTTATGAACGGGGATAAAAATGCCTTTCAGTTGCTGTGCAGTCTTGGGAAATGTCCAGTTGAGGTCGGTATGCAAGTCTCTTGGAAAGCTACCAAAGCACAGAATAAATGAGCAAGGTCTCCTTACCAACACAAGGGATTGACATTGAGTCCCTCTGATAAAAAGCTGTAAGGAATTTTCCCCTGTTCTTGTTCCTGTGAGACGTCCTACATAGAGCTTCAGTATCCACAGACCTGTTTCCTCTCCCACCTCTAGGTTTGGCACCAGCAACACCATGCTGACAGATTATATTAATTATATGGATGAGCTTGCCTCCTTCATTGGGGCAAAGCCCAACATCCCGTGGCTGTTTCTCACAGATCCCAAATTGGCTGTGGAGGTTTTCTTTGGCCCTTGCAGCCCATACCAGTTTAGGCTGGTGGGCCCAGGGAAGTGGCCAGGAGCCAGGAATGCCATCCTGACCCAGTGGGACCGGGCCCTGAAACCCATGAAGACAAGAGCGGTTGGAACCCCCCTGAAGCCTTGCTTGCTTTGCCGTTGGGTCAGGCTTCTTGCTCTTCCCATTCTGGTTGTTGCTATTTTCCTGGCTTGGATCCAATGATCATTCTCCCCAAGATGTTGAAAGTTACTGAGAATACCTGGGGCGGGGCCGGGGGGGGGGACTTTTCTATTTAAAAATTAAGAATTTCACACCTCCTACTTCCCTATTCAGCAGGCATTAGTCAGTAAAGCAGTACTATTTCTAGGCTTTTAAATAAGCCTCTTTAAGAAGCATGCCATGACCTAAAGAGAGCATTAATCATTTCTTTTTAGTTTCCACTAACATTTCATAATCAGAACTATGGTCTTCATCTCTAACCTCAATCGTCTCCTGAAACATTTTGACATAGTTCCTCTTCTCCTTTACACAAGGTTTAAAATACATACTTCAAACCTAAACAAAGAGCAAATTCAGCAGAGTAGTTGTGATATTCTCAGGCCACCTCTACAAACCATTTGCAGGAGGCTCAAGTAGGGAATTTGGCTATTAATTCTATTTTTGTGTTATGCCATATCCTCCAGGCAATATGTCCTGTTCCTGGGCCTCCATAGCATGGACACCTGGTTTATAATGAAAATTAACAAGAAGTAACTCATCATATTTATATTCTCAACAAGGACACAAACATAGCAGCAAAATAATACCAACAAGGAGTAGAACACCACATATACCATTAGCTGAATGAAAAGTCTTCAAATATTTAGTCAAAGTCATGACAAAAATTTAATACTGCCTTTATAACATCAGCTTCTGGAGTATCAGCATAAATCTAAAGTTTTGCTTTTTAGGGGCATCTGGGTGGCTTAGTTGGTTAAGCATATGACTTCAGCTCAGGTCATGATTTCATGGTTTGTGAGTTCAAGCCCTGCTTCGGGCTCTGTGCTGACAGCTGGGAGCCTGGACCTGCTTTGGATTCTGTATTCCCCTCTCTCTCTGCCCCTCCCCCACTCATGCTTTATCTCTCAAAAATAAATAAGTGTTAAAGTTTTATTTTTAAAAGTATTATTAGATTTCATAGCTAAAATTTTAATAGTTAAAAGTTTTAAGTTTGACATTATAGAGTAGATAAAATAATCTGGCCGTGTCATCAGTTACCAGAGGCCTCTATAGGTGGTTACACCACCTTTTTCTTACTACATGTTCACTTCTGAGGCCAGTGGAATGGCAAGATAGTAGATATATGTTAGATAGATAGATAATAGATAGATAGATAGATAGATAGATAGATAGATAGATAGATGATAGATAGATTATAGATAAATGATAGATAATAGATGATTGATAGATAGATGATAGATAATAGATAGATAATTGATTAGATAGATAGATAATAGATGATTGATAGATGATAGATACACAGATGATAGATTGATGATAGATAGATGATAAATAATAGATAATTGATTAGGTAGATAGATAAATAGATAGATAGATGATATATTGATGATAGATAGATAGGTGATAGATAATAGATGACTGATTAGATAGATAGATGATAGATTGATGATAGATAGATAGGTGATAGATAATAGATGATTGATTAGATAGATAGATGATAGATAGATGATAGATTGATGATAAATACATAGCTAGATGACAGATAATAGATGATAGATACATGATAGATAATAGATTATAGATATAGATAGATAAAGATAGAGATGATAGAGATAGAAATAGAGATAGTTAGAGATGATAGAGATAGACAGAGACAGAGATAGAGATCTGTAAGAAAGGGGCAGGAGACCACATTTTTCTGTAATACTTTGTTCTTTTTATTTTTAATTCTCTTTATATGTTTATCTTTGGATCTAAGATTTATCATGGAGGTACACAATTTTTTTACAGTATAATTTTACTTTTTTTGAATTCTACCATTTATTTTTTTAATATGAAATTTATTGTCAAATTGGTTTCCATACAACACCCAGTGCTCATCAGGTGCCCTCCTCAATGCCCATCACCCACCCACCCCCTCCCTTTCACCCCCATCAACCCTCAGTTTATTCTCAGTTTTTAAGAGTCTCTTATGGTTTGGCTCTCTCCCTCTCTAACTTTTTTTTTTCTTCCCCTCCCCCATGGTCTTCTGCTAAGTTTTTCAGGATC